TTATTCTATATGTTTAAGTCATATGTTTTTTGTTTTACTTTTTTTTTTACAGACAGCCTTTCACCCCTGATTTTCAGCATTTATATAAAACAATCCCTTAAAGACTGGAAAAGATCGTGCGGTAGAATGGGTGTTCAAATCGGGGATGATGTAATCTACAATTTGCAGTATGCCGATGATCAAGTCATAATTGCATCGGATCCGCATGATGTGAGCTATATGATGAGGAAGTTGCTGGACACGTATTCCAGATAGGGCATGAAAATCAGTAAAAGTAAAACAGAGTACATGGTTTTCAACGCTCCAAATTCGCCCCTTGAAATTGATGACTGGACGCTCAATGTCAGCCAACAGTTCAAGTACCTCGGGTACTGGCTATCTTCAAAGGGAGGTAGTGAGGTTGACATCGAAAATAAAATAAACAATGGGAAAAGAATAATAAGTTCGATAAATTCAACCATATGAAGTAAAGAAATAAGATTGGAAACTAAAAAGAAGATCTACCATTCCTTTATAGAAAGCGTAGCCACCTATGCATCAGAAGCTTGGACAATTACCAAGAGGCGGAAAATAGGTTGCTTTCCATGGAAATGGATTTCTGGAGAAGAAGCTGTGGCATATCAAGAATCGAGCGAATCCCAAACACAGCAATTAGAGACAAGGTCGGATGTCAAAAGAACATCCTTCACCTGATCGGGACCAAACGGTTAAAGTGGTATGGCCACTTAATCCGGATGGATGAGAACCGCTGGCCAAAGAAAATTCATAACAGCATGCCACCTGAAAGAAGGAAGCGTGAAAGGCCAAAGAAGAAATGGATAGAGGACGTAGAGGAAAGCACGGCAGCCAGAGGGCTCCGTGAAGGAGATTGGATGGGCAGAGAGCAGTGGCTTTTGGGTGTTGAGAATATGACTCCTTAAGTTGTAGAAAAACACAAATAAAAAATGTTTAAGTCATCCCAACGACAATGGTACCCTGCTCTATATTTCTTTTTTTGGGGGGAAGAGGGTATTTATTTTATTTTGCGGATATAAACCTCAATTTAAGTTATTTTTAATTCAGTTTAAGCGGATATTATTCAGTTTAAGTTATTCTAAATAATTAGAAGTTATCTTCAAAAGTATTTATCAGATAAACCTACAGTACATTTTTGGTTTGTTTTATAGTATTGATGAGAGAGATATTAATTGCAAAAGGAGGCCATTGAAACAGAAATTATTTCATAATGGAAGTAATTTTAAATATTATCCCATTTTTAAAAACATGAACAGGAAAGAACGTGACAGAGGTTTTACTGATTTATGGTAAAAATATATTACATGATGTTTGTGATTCGAACAACTTTTTCGAAAAATGGGATTCATTGAAGTAACATCTAAGGTTTTATCTTTTTAAGCGACTAAGCACAGGTGAACAAATCCAGCTACAAAAGATTTTACTTTATTCAGATTCTAGTAAATAATTTAGGTAACGTTATTATCGAAAGAGCAAAGGGTAATTAAAATGTTTCAAGCGATTTATTCTTGAACTAGTAAGTTGAACTATAGTGTAACTTTAGCATGATAATTATAGACATGGAACAAATATTATATGATATGATTTATTTGTTTAATAATTTCAGCCTGTGGATTCATGAATAAAAGTTATATTGCCTTTGAATATGAATAATTTCTCTTTAAACAGAGAAGACGTATCCAAGAGTTAACTGCTTAGGGGAATTCAAAGATAGGGGATCACATACATTACACAGGAAGCATTAGGTTCCTTTCATTAGCCAGTTCTAAACTTATGTCAAAAGGAATGTTTTGATGGAGAACATAACTGCAAAACTAATGCTGACTCAATTAACTGCAGGAAAGCAATCAAGCTAGGGATCCTGGAATATTCCTCGCGAAGGAAATAGGAGTAAATGCAAGCAAGTAATACAATTATACTTCAAAGAGATCGTAACTGAAGAAAACAAGGATGGTTCAAATATATTTTATCATATGAGGTATACCGTCTCCATATATTAAAAATATGGTGCAGTGCGCGCATTAAACAACTTTTACTTACCACCCTCTTCTTAGCAGAAATAAGTATTTTCAAAAAAGAGGAAGTGAAAGTTAAAATTTTAAACGCTATATTGAACTGTATTAAATTGTGGATATGCTTATTTATATAAGTAATCTTATATACAAAATTTAAAATTTATATAGCTGTAGTCTATACAATTATATATTGAATAATACCAACAATAGCATTTATAAAAACTGCATATCTATATGTATGTATATATTACAAAAATATGGTACAAAAATGTACTATGGGTTTATCCGATAAATGCCAATGAAGATAAGTACTAATTATTTAGAGTAACTTAAACAGAATATACGTTTATATCCGCAAAATAAAATAAACACTACCATAAAAAAAGAAAAACAGAAGAGGTTACCATTGCCATTGGAATGAATTAAACGAATAGAATAAAATATTTTATTAATTCATTTGAAAATAATAAGCAGTTCACTATGGGCTTATGTTATGCATTAGTTTATTATTTTTAATATTGGTTAAAAAAAAAATCTTTGTTCGCTATCAGGGCATTAAAAAAGATTTTTTAAAAGAATGCTGCCCATTATTAAATAGCAGCTACTTTAAATTATAATAATTGGAACATAAATTGAATATAAGCTTTAGTAGTCTCAATACTATATGTAAAATTGCCATACTACGTATTTATTTACATCAATAAAGAAATTCTTTGTACGAAAAATACAGTTTATCAAAAAAGAAGCCGATTTAGGGATCAGTTGAGGTAATGATATGTCAAGGTAAGTAATGGGGCATTAATCCCCTCTCCTCAACCCCTGGCCCGAAAAACCTCCTTCCCCCGTATAGCCTAAACGGGGAGGAAGAGCAAAAAAAAAACAAACAAATTTTTACTTATATTTTTATTTAAATAAATAGGGAAGAGTCTTCCTGCTCCAAAGGTTCTGTTAGCATCTTAAAATATTTTTAGTTATTAGTGAATTCACTTTATTTATTTATCTCACATCTTTGTTTTTAAGGAACTGGGTCAGTGTTTTTTTTTTCAAAAAGACTAGTTTCACATTTTGGACATTGGGACATGCTCTACAGTGCACTCAATACTGAATGATCCAGCTGTTTTACTGATAACAAGCACGCGTGAGTTTTTATTACATTTTACGTTTAATTTCTTATAATACTGAAGAAAAGAGCAAACAGGCTCGTGCACTCGCGATTCAATTCTAAAATTGAACTTGAAGCATCAATACTTAACTTCTGAAGTTAGTCGATACTCTATATCTCCAGGGAACGATAACAGAAGCTGTAAATTATTGTCAAAACTTTTTCAATCGGTTAAAACAAACCAGAGCGGATACTACACGCACCGACTGATTGGTTTCCTGTTCCCTTGTTGAGCGCTTAAATTGCTTCTTGTGTATTTATGTGTAATTCATATTTTTTTTGTTTTTAAGTATTAGATAGAATATTTTTCAGTTAATAGATTAATTATATTATAACTAACATGATGAAGTAGGCATATCACTCGAAACTCTAGTTTTTCTGGAATTACAGATTTTATTTTATTCATCTGTATTCCAGATATATGCAGTAGTAGTAGTATATATTTATTGGTTTATAAACAGCGTAGCCACGCACGCACACAAACACACCATTTTGCGGGACTTGATTATTACGAACGCAAAACATGTATTTCAGACGAATACTCAGATTCGTAAATTTTCACGATCGCAATACTGTCCCTTACTATATATTTCATATATAGATAAGTGAAAGTAAAAACCTAATTGAAATTGTAAAAACCGTAGCAAAACATTTTATTTTATACTATGAGTCAAATAAATTTAAAACTAATGCCAATGATGTTAAATTTTATGAAATTTTGAAATTTACTCTTTTGCCCTTTCCTACCCCCAAACATTTATATAGTAATGTCCATAACAGCTATGTTAGTTGAGCCTATTGTAATGTAACCATGATTAAGAAAGCACTGGAAATAAAACAAACTCTACTCTCTTTTGTTTTCTAAGCCAGATGACTAATTCATATTTTAGCATGTGCATGTACTCTTACATCTTATTATATCTTGACTATCTTTTCTAGATGTTTGGATATGACATGCCATAATATTGTATATAGAATAGGTTTTTTTAAATTTATTATCTTTGTTATCTTAAATATCTTCCTATTTATCTTTAATTGTATATAGTAATTATGTTTGAATTTCCTCTTTTTCCTTGTATTTCATTTCTTTTTATTGTATATAGTATTAATTCTATAAATATTTCTTTTTGTAAATAGATCTGTTAACCTTTTTTGCTGCTTTATAAAAATATACAACCCAACCCCTTCTTACCTGAGCTAGCATGGTAGAGTAAATATTTAATGATGGCCATTAAAGGGTAAGTACTTTATGTTTTCTAGATTTATCTCTTTAGAGATGAAAGGCTAGTAAAGCCAGGCGCCCAAAAAATAAAAATTCTTATGGAAAATTATATTTATTAAACATTATTTTATTAGCTTTTTATTTTTTATCCTTTTTTGGTCATAGTAATGAATTAAAAGTTGAAAATTTGATATCGTAGGGTTTTAATTTCCGAAAACGAACAACGACATCTTATGGTTTCGATCTTGTATTATAATGAGTTTGTATTATAAATTAATTCTTCGAGATACTTGCTGAGAACAGTAATATCGGTATTGATAGGATAGAATGCTTTATATTATAAGCCCGGGTTAGGAATATAACCATAACTGATAAAGAATACTCCTGTAAAAAACATCATATTGAGAAAACGAAGAAGGAATAGCAGATTTTAAGAGTTTGAACATTTTCTCTGTTAGGAATATACGGGTTAGGGAAGTATAACGAAGAAGTTCATAAATTAGTGTTTTTCTTTTTGAATAGCTAATAGAGATATAAGTGCCTGATTCTATATAAAAATTAAAACATCTAAAAATTAATTCCTGACCTGAGAGAATAATATGAGCCTGCCTCTGCCGCTCCCTCAACTTCCAATATTGCTTCTTCAGCGCTGAGATGTCGAGGGCGATCTTCTCCCTGTCTGGGTGGTTCGATATCGGTGTCATCCGAGCCTCACTCCCGCTGTCTTCTGATAGGCCACCTGTGAACCGTCACCAATAACTAGTTATATAGCCTGCAAAATAAAATCTACGTTGACAAAGTTTGCATACACTTTTTTTTCATGAAATGAAATTTCGACTACCTCGGATCAGTACTTCTCTTTATTATTACTATTTTTTTTGTATACTTAACTTTAGTTTTTATTTTTATATCAAATAGGATTAATGTTATCACAAAAAGGCCTCATCAATCTCACAGATTTCATGTCCAAGAAACTTGTTTCAACTTGAAATTTCATTTGCTCCATATTATAAATTTATTGCAATTTTCAAAATACCAGAAAAACAGCAGTCATATCAATCAATTAAAAAACCTTTTTGCTACACTACTTGATGGCAGTAACAGATAATTCGATTTTTTTTTATCCTATTTTGTTAAATACAGACTCCCTGAAAAGTATTACTTATGTCGCAATTTAACAACTTAAATAAAAATATTTTTTTTAAAAACGTACTTTCATTTAAAACTTTGAAGGCCTAGCCAATCGAGTGAAACTTTCTCCATGGACCAAATTGTTATTTTCAAGTTTATTTATTATCAGCCAATTTAACACCCATTTTCAAAATTTTGTCAACTTAATGACTACACATCTAATTACGACGTTTCGTCTCGTTGAGCCATTTTCAAGTCTAAAAAAATGTTTACAATTTACAATCATATTTAAAACATTACATATTTCAACATATAGAGATTCTTTTTATATACCTAAATACCAATCATGTACCTGTCCTTTTCACTTATGCGAATTGCATGCGTCTACTCATAATAAATTTTTTTATTTTTGTCATGTCTACCTTTAATTATTTTATAACATTATTATTACTCAATTATTTCTTATTAAATGATTCAAATAAGTTAAAATTACCTTATCATGTGTCACCGACATCTCATCAGTCTCGTTTCTATTCAGTGACTGGTTATTCTTAAAGGAGTAGGAGAAGACTATTTATTTTAAACATGTACAATGATGTTTCCCAATTTTATATGTGGCCCTATTTTAAGTAAAATTAGCTAATTCATTTCAAATTTTTATTTTTTCAATTGAACTCGCCTAAAATGTATTCATATTATCCACGTCTGTATGATTATTTACCCAGTTTTTTTAAATTGTTAGCTATGTATTGTGCTTCAATTATTCTACGTTTATTCGTATTACTTTTTGTATTATCATTTTGTTTGCATAGTATACTGAGAGAGTCCAGTAGCTAATTTAATTTTTGTGTTTTTTGAATTGCAATTTTGTTTGTGCTGTTTAAGTTTTTTTTCCAAACCATTGTTATATCTGTCCAAAATATGATTTGTTGTTGCAATTTTCACAATTTATTTTATAAATAATATTTGTTAATTTATCGGAAAAATTGTTATTGTCTCTCAAAAGTTGTAAAATACTTTTTTTTTTAGTTTTAACAATAATTTATTAGCTGTAATTCAAAAAAAAAGAAAAGGAGCGTATATATCTGCCATTTCCCATAGAGATATTACAGTTGTTTTTCCTAATTCTACCTTCAGTAGTTATTTCTTATAATCATATTTAATTCATATAATCATAATTTGATTATTTTTGGAAATTTAAGCAAAAACAAGCTTGTTTGTAGATTTCAATAGCGGTCGTATACGCGTGCAGTGGTGCCTTGGGCATAACAGTGAGCGGGCGTATATGCCCACTATAGTCATTAAATAGTGTTGAAAAATTCTTTTTTGATGTAATCCTTAAAGAAAAAAAAAATTAAAAACTTTATCTTATTATTTTCTTTAATAACCGATTTTATATATTTTCCTAAAAATAGACACTTAACCCCTTTCGGACTGTAGCTTAGACAGCTCTATTAAACTATTACAGCACTCTTTATTGAGATTTATTTTAATTTTATTTTGTTTACAAAAAAGAAAAAAAATACTTCGAAAATAAATAATTAAAAACTTTACGTTATTATTTTCTTTAATGACCAATTTTATACATTTTTTCTAAAAATACACACTTAACCCCTTTCGGGATGCTATTGCATACTTATGAAAACAATAAAGATTTTATGATTATGCGCTCGTATACCGATTTACGGTTACTCGTAGTGGTCAATCATTATGTTATTGGAGAGAGTTTTTTTTTTTATATTATATATTATAAGATTACGCAAGCTCACATTGATTTTTTAAAACTTTTCGGATTATTTCGATATGAAGGTCTGCTGTTATATTGTCGGGGGCTTAGGTTTTGAAAACACTGTCGATTTTAATATTAAGTGGTCTGATATCAATTCATATTAACTTTTCGGCTTCATTGTTAAGTTATTGAGAAATTGATTGGGAACAAAATTATAAAAGATTAAATTTAAGAAAAATAAAATAAATTGGATATGGTTGTTTAATGCAGAATACTTAGGCCTCTAAACGATTAGGCTTAATATATATAATCACTAAGAATTAATCATGCTATATCAGGTATCTACCTACATATGATTAAAAGAATAGATACAGATTATTGCAAATTGTGCGAAGTTAAGGATGACCCGACACATATAATAATGTCATGCATTAAACATGCAGCAGAAAGATAAAATTTAGTCAATTCAATTAATATTCTAATAAATAATGACAATTCACCTTATATTGTCATAATAAATAATTATATAATAAATAAATAATTATAATCCTAATTCTGTTCTGAAACCGTTATCTCACTTCGTAAACTCCATAGGTATTGAATTATAAAAATTAAAGTTAGTTTATGATATTAAATATGATGATAAATAATTATGCTAATAAAGTAATAATAATAATATTATTATGATATTGTTTTATGTAATAATAATAATTAAGGATGCTACATAATCATAACACAGGAATACATAATAACACAGGCGGATCAACGGAGGGGGGACATTCGGGCTGAAGCCCCACCAAAATGGTAAAATGTAATCATGTTTTATGCTAAAAAAATAACTCTTAAAGTATTATTGTTCGTATAATTACATTTAATAGGACCTCAAGAATCACATAAACACCATTTCATATATGTAGCTAGTATCTTTCTTTTTTTTTAGAGTAGTTATCGTTATATATATGAAAAAAAGTTTTCCCCCACTTCGACTACGGTTGCCTGGTGTATGGATGGCTGCTCACAGGACTGGAGGAGAGACTGAAGAAACGTATTAATTGCTTCATAAGATTCATCTTTGGGATTCCCAAGCGTTCTCATGTTTCTTTTTGGTACACCCAGTTGAAGTGGCTTTATTCTACTTTCCGACGGCAATTCCTTCTTAGTGTTTTTCTTTTTCAAGTCCAGAGAATCAAAAACCCTCCCTACATCTTAGAACTCCTTACTTTACGCTCCTCTATCCTCTCTCTCTCTCAACCTATAGATTTATATATCTCCTCCCATAAAACCGCTGCCTTCAGTAAATCCTTGAAAAAAAAAGCTTTTGGGCTGAAGCCCCTCCCCCCAAATGAAATACTGGATCCGCTAATGATTTAGAATAAATAATATTTAAAATTTTGGCTAATGGCTAGTTAAGGCCTTGTGTAAAATTAAAAAAAAATATATATACATAAGGGAAAAATAGGAGTTATTGCTGCAATAAAAAAATAATTAAGCCTACCTTCAAGTATGTCTGTATTTAAGTTGTTATTTTGATTAGTTTAGTTTCCTTTTGAATATATACATTTACTTTTAGTAATATTATTTTGATGTTTAATTTATTTTATTTATTGTACATACAGTGTGAATGAGTGGTACTCTACCACTACTCATTAATAGTTACCTACTCATTAATAGTTAGAGTACTTGAACACCCTCAGTGCTCAAACCACGCCCTGAAGATGACCCACATGTTTGGGTTGAAACGTTGGCAAAAATAAAAAAAGACTGCGTCTTCAATATTTATCACCCATGATATGTAGAACAGTCTAGTAACTTCCTTCAAGAATTAATAGTTACCAGTTACTAGTTACTAGTGTACTTGATTGCGACAGAATGTAATATTGCTTAATAAAGAAATGTGAAATATTTCTAAAATCCTACCTTCATGTTACAATATTTCATTACAACAGAGAATACAATACATTTTGAATGGTATATACCCAGCAATCATGTCACATTAATATGTAACGAAATTAGTCAACACACATTCCCAACTTCTCGGAAGAGCAAAGTTGATTGGATTGTAAGCGTGCCACTAACACATTACTCGACAATTAAAACTTTACAGGGAACGAAAGGGAATCGAATATGCAAAGTTGTCCTCCACTTGGCAAAAACATGTTTAAATAATTATGTTTAGAAAATGATGTGGGTAGCGAATAGTGTTCACCGATGGTATAATCGCAAATACATTTAGTTACCTAGAACTAGGGAAAATTACAAACCAAGAATATTTACAAACGTAAATTATTTTTAACTAGTTGTAGTCGGATGGCGTTCGAGTTGATGAATTCATATACAATTTTAAATATCGCTAATGTTAGTACAAAAGGTCGTATGTTTAAATTTAGTGTTTTGAAGTAGATAATAAAAACTGCTTATATCTTTATGAATTATCAGTATAATTTAATATTTCGTTCCTTTCTGCTATTTTCTTATTTAGCAGACTACGTATTGCAGTTGCAGACTATAAAGCGTCACATTTAGCACAAATAGAACCAAAATGGAAAAATTTTACATACGATTGTTTGAATTAATAGTAATGTCGATACAAATACTATTTTTTTTATTCAGAAATATAACAATCTTTCACTCGGACAATAATTATAGTGAGATATGAACACATTCGCACAATATATACAGAAAACTTAAAATTAACAAAATAACTATTGAAAATTAAAAAAATAACGATTTTCAATTCTGTACTGTATCGATTGTAATTGTTATAAAATATTTTTAAACTATTCAATTATTTAATTGTGGGCAGGCTGAACTAAAATTATATTCAATCTCTACTTTTTTTTTATATCAAAGTAGTTCACCGAAGTATCAAGAGACCAAGT